AAACTTATTGAATGCTTAGACAAAAAATAATATTATCTTATAAAAAAATCCAGTCCTCTAACAAAATTTATTTTATATTTCAAACCGGAGGAAATATATATAAAGAACTTCTACCACTTTAGGAACAACATTGGACGTATCCAAAAAGTCATTTCATACACGCTTGCGTGACAAGAACAAAAGTCTTTTTCTGTCTTTTCAGCATGAGATCTATTTTAATTTTTGAAGAACTCGGAAATTTCCATTTCTTGCACAAGATCATATTATATACTTTACAGGCGACTTCAATGTAAAGCGTATGAATTCTTTTGAGTGGCTGGCGGTGCTAAAATTCTTCGCTAATTGAGCTATCCCTTCCAAATCTTGAAGTTTCTCATACGTTTCAGTAGGAATGACCAATTTATTTTTCTCTTCCGCTATGACAAGAACTGCTTATCTCCTTCTTATTCTTAATATAAAAACTAGATAACTAATTCAGAACTATTAAAAAAATTAGTTAAATTGATTATTTGTAATATGTGTTGGCTTTTCTAGACTATCCTATTTAATTATGTGTATTGTACCTTTTGCTGTCAATGGAGATCTTTTGGGGAAAAAAGTTACAAATTTGGGAGAGAATGTGTACACAGTACGAGAATTTTTTTACCCTTTCCCATTCAGACACCATGAACCAACTGCGTTGGGCTTCTCTCCGTTGCCCTCCTTTTCCTGGTGCCCTCCCCTCCCCACAACTACGCCGTTTTGGGTAGAAAATGGGCTTCAATGCTTTTTTTTAAAATAAGATTTATTATTTTAAAGTATTTTTCAATAACACCCCATAATTTAAAATAATTTTTTGATTTACTCGGCATCATAAAATTTTTTTTTAATAACATTCAGTTTCTCAAAAATACACTCAGCACTTGGTGTTAATGGAGCCCAGAATTATTTTAGGATACTACAAAGTGTTTTAGAGTACTTAATATATCAAAAATTATTTTAAGATTCTTGGTGCTCCTGAAAAAAATATTTAAGAGTGTTGAGTATATCTTTAGGATACTCTGTTATTAAGAAATAGTTCATGGTACTGCCAAAAATTATTTTTGGGATACAGGGTGCTTTTGAAAAAATAATTTAGATGCTTAAAATAGAATATTAAGTACTACTAAAAAAATATTTTTGTGTGTTGAGTATATTTCATGATACCAGGTCGAGGTGTTAGTAGAAAAATACTTTATAATGCTTAGTATATCAAAAAATTATTTTAAGATATTGGATGTTGTTAAAAAATATTTTAAGATATTGAGTACTACCTCCGGTCCTTAATATAAGACTCTGTTTGACTTTTATTTTGGTCATAAATATAAGACTCCAATCCACTTTGTCTCAAATATTTATACATTTTTTTCAAAGTAGCCATTCTAATAATGATAGTTCTAGTCAATGTACTTGATTAGTAAGGATTTTTTAGGAAAGACAACACTTATTTAAAACAAATAACTAACTCAACTTACTTCTTTAATCTCCTCAAATTAGTCAACTGGTTCTTATAATTAGGACAGGAGGTAGTATTATTTAAAAAAAATTTAAATTTTCCCACCAAAAACTTTCACAAAAAAAAAATCGAGAACGACATAGTTCTAGATAGAGGAGGGTAGGAGAGGAAAGAAGGCAACGTAGAGAAGCCAAACGCGAACGGACTACACGCACAAAGGGCATGTTTAGAATAGTTTATAAATAACTTTTTAATCATAATTTATGGAATATGAGATAAATATATGAGAAAGATTTCATCTCGATTTATGTAAAATAAGTTTATAAGTATTTTTAAATACTTTCACAAACAATCCAAAATCAAAAACCACAATATTAGAAAACTAGTTTTTTGGGCGACACACCGACACATGAGAATGAAACAGATATGTACCACTCCAATCCCAAATCTGACGCAGATAACTTTGCTACTCTGTTATTTATAAATAACTTTGTTTCTATACTCATGCTCTTCTGATTGTAAATGTAAGACTCTTAAGGTGCGTTTGTTATAAAGGATTTGGAGGAGAAGGAAAGGAGGGGGAAGGATTTTAATCATTGCCCTCTCCTCCCCTCCTCAACCTCCCCTCTAAAATTGGGAGGATTTGGAGAGAAAAAGCAATATTTTACTATATTGTGACCATTATGCCTATATTGTCATGTGATGACCATTATACTCATATCTTAAATAAAATAAGAATAAAATTGTCCATGTTAAAATATTTTTTCCTTCCCTCCCCTCATAAACCAAACAAGGTAATATTAAAACTCTTCCCCTCCCCTCTTTTTTTATAAATCCAAACAAAATAATATTAAAATCCCTCTACTCTCCTCCCCTCTCCTTCCTTTCCTCTTATTGAGCCAAACAGATCCTTATACATATTAGTATAAGGGTCTTACATTTAGGACCAGAAAGGTATCACATATCAAACACTAACAAGTATCATCCAAACCGCGACTTTAGAGAAATTTTGGCCATAATGCCATTTTTTTTTTGAGTGGAAAAGGGAAATCAATTAACCAATCAAAGGGAGTCCAGAATAATTACAAAACGGAAAGGACCAAAATAAGAGACAGCAAGCAAACAGCGCAGATCAAGTGGCGAAATTAATGTCAGCAATAAGATCCATAGCTCTATTAGTATGCCTAACGATGGCATCAGTAACAGCAATAATTTCTTCCGGTCGGAAATCTTCTCCAGCAAACAATCGCTTGTTTCGAGCCTCCCAAAGCTTCCAGTTGAGGATGCCAAATCTCAGGATCCAAGTCTTGTTGGCTCGGCATGGGCTTATGTTATGAAGCCACCAATCACCAATTGGTTTCCCCAAGAAGCTGCTGAGGTGCCTCTCAGGAACGAGGCGCTTCCAGCAAGCAACAGCTAGAGGACATTCTCTGAAGATATGGTTTATGTCCTCTGGTCCTCCGTTGCATAAGTCGCAGTTCACATTTTCAGTTAAGTGACGGTGTTTTCGTTCAACATTCGTGAGGAGTTTTCCTTTATAAGCCAGCCATATGAACGATTGAACTCGGTGGGCCCCCGGCCACTTCCAGATTAAGCTCCATTTCTTAGAAACTGGGTCCCAAGAGTCCTCTTCAATGGATTTGTAGGCTGAGGCTACTGAGAAATTGCCCCCCTTATTGGGATTCCAGAAACAAGTCGCTAGTCCATCCCCATGACTGGGAGGGGGGATGCTGGCAATCATGTGGTTGATAAAAGTGGGGAGCAAATCAATGAAAAGCTCCCACCGCCATTGGCCATTGCTGTCTACAAAGTCTGATATTGGTCTTTGGAGACAAGTATCATCAATATCTGAGAAAGCAAGATTTTTAAGAGGCCCAAGATCTCCAACCCAATAGTCGGACCAGAACTTAACTTTCGTGCCATCTCCAATCTTCCACTTGATGCCCAGGGAGGTAATGGACCAAGATCTAGCTATGCTTCGCCATATGTGCGAGCAAGCTTTGGTGTTGAAGCCTTGATTGGTTTCGGGAGCCCAATTATATTTTGCACGCAAAACTTGAACCCATAAGAGCTCAGGCCGGCTTACAAGGAGGAAACCCAGTTTCGATAAAAAAGCATTGTTTTGGCTTTGCATGGATTTCAGACCACAGCCCCCATTTCTAGGTGGTTGACACATTTCTGTCCAGTTGATCAGGCTAATACCTCTATGTTGAGCATCAGAACCCCATATGAAACCTCTTATGATCTGCTCAATTTTGTGGTTGGTAGAGACAGGCAGTAGCGACGTTTGCATGGCATAAAAGGGGATGGAAGACAAGACTGATTTGGCAAGTGTGATTCTACCAGCTAAGGAGAGGGTTTTGGCCTTCCAGTTGGTGAGCTTTTGTTGCAACCTCTCGATTATATATCGGTAAGTCTCTTTGGTGACTCTTGAGTGCAATAAAGGGACACCAAGATACTTTCCGAGGTGCTCAGTCTTTGAGTAGCCTAGTTGTGTACAGATTTCATTTGCTTCTCTCCTGCCAACGTTTTTGGAGAAGAAGATCCTTGTCTTGGCTTCACTTATGGTGTGTCCTGAGGATTGGCAAAATTCTGTCAACGTCTTCTTGATTAATCTAATTTGCCTCGCAGTGGTCGTGCTGAACAGGACAAGGTCGTCTGCGAAGAAGAGATGCGAAAGTTGAGGGCCGTTCCTTCCCATTCTAATAGTGCTCCAGTTGCCACAAGAAACTTCCGAATTAATAGCCTGGGATAACCTTTCCATGCATAACACGAAGATGTAGGGAGAGAGGGGGTCCCCCTGCCGTATCCCTCTACTTGGTTGAAATGAGGTAGATGGTGTTCCATTCCAAAGGACTTGGATTGAGGGGGTGGTGATGCAAGTCATGATAAGTTTGACTAGAGAATCGGGGAACCCAGCATCACGCAGTGTGTCTTCTATAAAATTCCATTTAAGCCGGTCAAATGCCTTCTCAAGATCAACTTTGATGGCCATCCACCCTGTTTTCCCACTCTTCTTTCTCATAGAATGGATTACTTCTTGTGCGATGATAATGTTATCCGTGATGTTACGGCCTGCTATGAAGCTAGACTGATAAGGAAGGATGAGATCAGGCATTAGAGATTTCATGCGGTTTGCAATGATCTTGGTGATGACTTTATAGGCGACAGTGCATAGGCTTATTGGTCTAAACTCTTTAAGTCTTTGGGGTCTCTCAATCTTTGGAATTAGAGTGATCAAAGTTCGGTTATGGAATGCATCAAGAGTCCCGTGCTGGAAGAACTGAGAGATCATGTCACAAAGATTCTTGCCTACCGTGTCCCAGTATTTTTGGTAGAAGAAAGCATGAAGGCCATCAATACCAGGGGCTTTCAGTGGTTTCATGCCAAGAAGGGCTTTCTTGATTTCTTCAGGGTGGACTGTAGCTTCAAGGGAAAGCCAGGCAGAGCTGGGAAGAAGTGGGAACATGCCTCTGTGATTATATGTGACTGGGTCTTCGCTGTCCGAGTAGAGGTTTGAGAAATACTACTTGGTCATGGATATTAGCGTTTGCTCATCTGAAATCCAATCTCCCTCATCATTTCTCAAGGAGGAGATGCGGTTTCTTCTTCTTCTGATTCGGGCTTTCATTTGATAGTAGGAGGTGTTCCTGTCACCTAGGCAAATCCAATCGCTGCGGGATTTCTGGGCCCAAAGGAGCTCTTCATTTAAACATGTGGTTTCAAACTCAAGGCGAAGAGACTCTTCTAGATCGATCAAGTGAGGCGATGTAGGCGATCTTTCAAGATCCCGCTGGATTCTCATAATACGTTTCTGGAGCTGGTGTTTCTGTTTGCCAATGAGACCAAAGACTTCGTTGTTCCAAAGCGAGGCTGCTTGTGTGAATTGATTAATATTTTCTTTGAGACTGATTTCGTTCGACCAATTATCTTTGACTAGTTGTGGAAAGGAGTCATTGTTAGCCCAAGCAGCCAAAAAACGAAAAGGTTTGGTGGAATTACCTGACCGATGAGACGTCCCAAGTTCAATGAGGAGGGGTCTGTGGTCAGAATTAATTTGGGCCAAGTGCAGGATCTTCGAGTTGGGGAAGGTGTGAATCCAGGCTGTGTTGGAGAGGGCTCGGTCCAGACGTGCGAAAGTGAGTCCTCGTCGCCAGGTAAAATGGGGTCCAGAGTAGCCCAAGTCCACTAGATTATTGTTGTTGCAAAAGGCCTGGAAATGAGGGCAGCCCTTCCTCCTTTTTTCTGAGCCACCACGGCGTTCAGTAGAGCTAAGGGTAGCATTAAAATCACCAGCCAGGAGAAGAGGAGCGGAGTTGAAGTAAGAGGTCCTGGTGAGATCAAACCATACCCTTTGGCGGATTTGGCTGTTCGGGTGGGCATAAACCGCGGTGAAGAAGAAGCTTTGCAAATCAGATTTTAGCGTGATCTTTGAGTGAATGAATTGACTGTGGTTTGTGATGACTTCGACTTCGACAGCATCAGTCCATAGAAGCCATATTCCACCAGAAAAACCATTGGCCTCAACACGATGAGAGTAGGCATAACCGATTTTCCTAATTACTTTATCAGCAGTGATTCCAGAAATTCTGGGTTCAACGAGAGCTACTACGTGGGGTCGGTGGTCTCTGATAAAAGACTTCAGCACACTGTGAAATTTGTTGGCGGCAGCGCCTTGACAATTCCAGACAAAAATTGACATGGATAAAAGATGAAGGGTTTAGCAGTCCATGTGAGGCTGGTCCTCGTCAATTTCATCATCATTCGCTTGATCTTCGCATGAACCATCATCCAAGGTGGATTCCGGGAAGTCTAGAGATTTGGTAATGGCCTTGAGCATTTCATCTGCAAGGCTGGGCGGTGGGTCCTTAAAGTGGGGTTTGGGCTTTTTGAGGTGGATGCCCGAGAGGGTTTTGGGGTCTATGTGGGGGGGCTTTTGGTCAGGAGGTTTGGGTTGAACATTCTCTTTCCCAATGTCTAAGGTTTTGGGCTGGGGATGTTTGGGCTTGGTGGGTCTGATTGGTTGGAGGGTCAAATTTGGCTTGGGGAAGGAGGTGACTTGATGGCAGCTGGGGTCTAGTGTAGTGGGGTTTTCGGCCTTATAGGGGCGACTGGCAAAGAGGGAGTCGGGATTAGTCAGGTGGGTGGGGTCTTTAGTCGGCTTATCTGACACAGGTACCTGTCCGTTTTTGCTGACTGGTGTTCTCACTGGTTTGGTAATTTTTTCCTTCCCTTTCGCATTCCCTGGCCTGCCTGATGAGATAGCAATCCCCCTGTAGGAGGAGTGGGAGGGTGTAGCACTCTCGATGTTATCATCACCAGCCGTCAGAATGTCAAATCTATTGCCTCTGGTAATATCTTTTTGATAGCTGCTACCTGCTTCTCTTTTTTCTGAGTACCTTCTTCCTCTAGATGGCGCTTGCATCCATGCACTGTAGAGCGCGTCAGGATCTCTCCCCGCGTGAGAGGTACTCGCTTCAATGGAGGACTGGTTCGCCGGAGGGATGGCGGGCTGTGCGTGCTCGCTTGTTTCCATTTTCCTTGGGCAGACATCTTCCAGGTGGCCGTAGCAACCACAACAATAACAGATGGTTGGCAGTCCTTCATACTCGACGTACAATATTTTGCCATCAACGTCGATCTTAGCAGTAAGTGGCTGGGAGAGATCAATGAGGACTGCCATACGGGCAAACTTCCCTCGCTCTCCTGAGGCAGTGTTATAGTCAATCCTAAGTACCTTGCCCAACACTTCTCCTATGGCTCGAACCACACTTTTCTTATAGTACTTAGCCGGCAAACCAGGGATGCGGATCCAAGCCATGACTTGGGAGGCGACGTGGGTTAGAGGGGAGAAGTCGGGAGTCCAAGGTTGGACTGTGAGATAATGCCCGAAGATGACCCAGGGCCCTCCCAGTAGGACCTCCTGATAATCTCGTTCATTACTTAGTTTGGCAATGAAGCAGTTACCCTCTAGGTCCGATAGTTGAACAGTGCCATTGAGTTTCCAGAGGCTGACAACCTTGTCTCGGAGATCATTATATCTGATGTTGCGACCAAGCATTTTAACCACAACCGCAAATTTCATGCTGTCATCTAGTATCTTGTGGACCCTTGCTGAGAAATGAATGGATGGAAAGGGACCTGCTTTGTTGACAGTGATGTCCCCTTCGTGGAGTGCGAGATCTTCTTCCTCATCCCTGGCTCGTGGCCCCTGGTTGAGTAGCATGTCCCTGAAGGAAGGCACTGGTTGCTCAGGTGGGTCGGTGGCATCCATATTCAAGTCGTTAGTCTGCTGGTCCTCGTTTGCTTCCTCTGCAGACATTTCTTCATCAGATGGTGAGATAGGGTCATAGGAGAGAATATCGGATTCTTCATGAGGGAGTCCATTACGTATTTTCACTTTCTTCGTCGATCGATTGTCATCTGGATGCGGAGGGGTGTCTTCTTTTTCCTGAAGCTTGGTGGAGAGAGAGCGTTCCATCACGTTGTTGCTATTATCAGATGTGGATTTTCATATCCGAATTGCTACTTTTTTTTGGCCATAATGCCATTGATACATGTCAGGCAAACCCATTTTTGTGTGCATGTGTATGACTAATAAGGGTTGAGTCTAATAATGAAAAAAGCTAGTTCTGACAAATTAAAATATGAATCTCTATTAAAAAATTTGTTCACATTTAGTATTTAACAGATGATTGTTTCCAATAAAAACATACGCCCCCTTATCATTAAATATATATTTCTTCAATCCTTAATATAAGATATATTTAACTAACTTAATTAGATTAAAGAAGTTAGGTAAGTTAGTTAATTATAAGAAATATGACATGTTTTTTCTAAAATATCATAGTAATCTTTCTTAATATCCTTCCTCTCTCTCACTATCTTTTATAATTATGGTCCCTACTCTTTAATTAATTTATCTCGATATATAATATTATTTTACTTTTATTATTCTTTACTGATCTGTTCGGTATTATTACGTGATTGTTGGGATTCAATTATTGACCACATGTTGCACATTTTCCCATGTATATATATATTTAAGCTTTTCTTCAGATTTGGTATATCGCATCTCCCCACTTGCTCACAAACCAATATCTTTTTAAGCAAGTTGCTGTGTCCTACAGTCTGAATAAAATTAAATTTTAAATTTTAATGTTAGGTGTTTCCACAAGCATGGATGGTTAAATAATCACAATTCAAGATAATACTGTCTTTGGTAGAAGAGATTATAGATACTTCAATCATGCTTGCGTGCCATCCGATGCCATTGAATATCAGATATCATATGAAAATTAATACTCCTCCTGTCCTAAATATAAAACCATTTTTATAGTATAAATTACACTACAAAAAAAGTCTTATATTTAGGATGGAAAGAAGTACTCTATAAAATTAGCTTAAGATATATGTTCAATCATATCAACAAATTATCCCAATAGTAATTACATTACAAAAAGAGTCTTATATTTAGGATCGAAAGAAATACTCTATAAAATTAGCTTAAGATATATGTTCAATCATATCAGCAAATTATCCTAATAGCAGTACCACTTATCATGTGTAAATAAGGTTTTAAACTCAAAGCTTACTAACTTCACTATGTTTAGATGAGATCCTAGACTCAAAACTTAGAGCATTGATAAGTTGATGTGTGTAAATATATTTAATTGTATAAAATCTAATTTTAATCATGCTGCCCCAACTATTCATCATTGTATAGTATCCAAACTTCAAACCTTCACCATAGATTTCTAAGTATAATTAATGCATGTTTTTAAAAGTACTCCCTATGAAAAAAAATCTAAAGTACCCATTACACTTTTGATATGTTAAAAATGCACTCCTTATGAACCGGAGGGAGTATAATTGAGGGAAGATAGAATGAAAAGCAAAAACAGATTTTAAAGTGATATATTTTTATCTTTTTTTGTTTGTCTATCAACGTAAATGTGTTTATTAATATTATATTAAGTGATATAGAGGAAGTATTATGTAAAAAGAAAATTATTTTTTACTGTTTCAAAGTTTTTACTTGTCTATCACTTGGTGAGGGAAACAAGTCTCTCATGAAGGATAAAAGAAAAGCTAAAATTACACTGACAGAGGAAATTTATTATAATTAACAATATTTGAAATAGAAAAATGAGATATATTTTGAATACTATAAATGCTTCAATATATTTTGCTTTAACGTACATTTGCAGTATAAATGACAGAGGCAACCGCCCTCGTGATTCAAATGACACATACAATAATATCTGGCATCTTTCTCACATATGGTCACATGGATCAATTAAAGTTTATTTTGATCATTAATGTCAATCCTATGAAATTACATAATTATTCCTTTTTTAATAAAATGTTCTTACCAAATTCAAAAACAGTTGTAAGTTATTACAGAGGATAAGTGTCAAATTATTGCATCATATACCTTTAAAAATTTCACACTGGCTTTTCGCTTATATGGAAAAAACATTTGCAACTGATGTTCTAACTTTTACCATAAAAAAATTTAACCTATACATATCAGTATGAGAGTTTCATGTTGAGTTTTCAAAATTTGACACTAGCAAATCGCAATTTGTCATTAATTTTCCAACTATTAATATATAAGATCCGAAAACTTGATGCAAATACAGCACTCCACACTTACATTTTGCAATTTATCATTGACTGTATGATAAAATGCAATTGATCTTTGAAATTTTAAGAAAAAACAAACTTGTTAGTCCTTACAGTTTCATGATTTTTAATCAGGTTTTTGTAAAAGAAATTTTACATTGAGTACTTATAGTTTTTTCAATCATAAATAATAGTCATTATGCACATAATCTATTAATTACAACGATTGTGGGTGATGGCATATGTAGGTTGTCACAAATTAAAAATAAATAATTTTTTTAGAAAAATAAAATGATGGGATAAAATTTATTTATCATCCTGCATTTATATTTGCGGATAAAAAAGAAAGAACAACAGTAAGATCAAAGTGATGAAAGAAGTAGACTGTTGTTGGAAGAAGTTAAAAAAATGAAATGTAATGATGAAGTGAGGAAGGCAAAATGTTGAGAAGGCGAAGCAAAACTGTGACTGCATTGGTAGCAGCAAGAGCTCCAAATGTGTCAATGGCTTCTTCTCCGCTCTTTCCCGCCATATCTGATATTCCTCTTATCACTACCACTGGAATCCCATTCGACAAGCTTGTCTGCAATCAAACACATTCATTATATTCTCTAATAATTATATACTATCCCAAGTTCTTAATATAAGACCCAACTAACTAATTTGTGAAAACTAAGAAAGTTACTAAATTATTTTAAAGTATTTATATTCACCAACAATTATATATATCAGGGGGTGAGTTTGGGAGCAACTGTAATATTGCTGCTATGCAAGGTCAAAGGTTCAAATCCTAAACATAGCTTCTTTGCTTACTTGCAAGAGTAAGGCTGTGTACATCCATCCCTTTCTAGACCCTCTACTTGGTAGGAGTCTTGTGCACTATTACGTTACACACACACACAACCTCCAGTTCTTAATATAAGACCTTGTTTGACTTTTATTTTGGTCCTAAATATAAAACCTCAACTTGCTTTGTCTCTCATATCTGTTGATTTTTTTCCAAGGTAATCCTTCTCATAATAATAGTTCTAGCCAATACACTTGATTAGCAAAAACATTTTAAAAAAGACAATACATATTTATTACAAATAACTAACTAAACTTATTTTTTTAGTCTCATCAAATTAGTTAACTAGCTCCTATATTTAAGACCAGAGGCAGTGTGTGTGTGAGTTCTCCCGCGTCAAATATATGCATGTGTTTGAAAAGTTTATTATGTATGCATATGCATGAAGATTGAAGGGGATGAAAGTGGTGAAGAATACTGACCATGACTATGGCGAAACTCTCCATATCAACAGAAGAAACTTGAAATGTTTGGAACAGGAAATCTCTGTAAGCTTCATTGTCGACATATATGTCGGCTGATGTGCCATTCACACCAACCACTAACTTGGTACTATGCGGAAGACAAAAGCTCGAGTTTATACAACGTTCTAGCTGTATTCCCTGTCACAAATTACACGAGCTATCAGTTTCTCACTTCCGTATGCATCTGTTATCAAGAGGATTGAAAAGGGTAATGAGACTCGTAAAGGTAGTATGTTACGGATACACAGTAATCCTTCTAGTCCTAAATGTAAGAATTTGTATAAAAGAGTTTGTTTTGACTATAATAAGATTTCAATCCACTTTGTCTCTCAAATTTATCATTTTTTCACCCTAAACTCTCCATATTGATTGCACATATTAAGAGAGTTTCCCATCAAGTGAGTATTTTCTAACATAAATAATTAAAAAAAGTACTTTAGGAGAATTAACATATATTTTTTACATATAACTAACTTGACTAATTATTTTAAGTTATGTAAATTACTTGTCTAGCTATTGCATTTAGGAAATTTGAACTGGCGTCCTTATGGTGTATTGGCGTATATATGGCCAAGTTCTTGACAGTGAGTAGCATCATGTTTTGTTCTAACCTCCAAAGTAGCAGCAAGTTGAAGCCATTGAGAAGTAACTTTAGCCCAGATCAAACGCTGTGCTAAGTTGGGTTTTCCAGTGACAGAAAAGAATTCTTCAGAACTGTAGCCAACACGTCCCAACAAATTGTTGCCTTTTGGAACATCGAAGTTACCAAAATCCAAGTGAGCAAAGTCACTACTTTCAAGTGTCCCATTCGGCTTCTGCCATTATCAAACACAAACATAAATTCAAGAGTTTCTTTAGTACTATTTGCAAAGCGTTAGGTACTTGAAAGATTGACAAGTTTTACAGAAAGAAAATTGAAGTACCAGCCAGTCCCATAGGCCAGTATGAACAAACTGTTTGGGAATGGTGACATCCCCAAAGGAAATGGAGTCATTCGCACTTCCAGCAATTCCAAAATGCAGTATCCCAACTACGTCTAACACATCAATCATTTGTTGTGCCACTGCTGCTGCGTTCAGCTGTAATAGAGCCAACATCAACCTCATTTTTTAGTTTAAAAAATATTCCAAAATCAAAATGAGAAGAAGAAACTCAATGATTTTGGAGAATAGATTTTCTCAAAAGCTGATCAATCCAACTTCTCCTCAAACCATGGTTTCTAGTTCATTAATCACTCGTTGACTTTTTTTTTAGTGTTTGGATGAAATCACACAAAACCTTGATTTTGCTTAAAAAGTGATTTTGGAGTGGTTAGCCAAACATGGACTAAGTATTCAAGGTATGAAGTAGAGAGAGAGAGAGAGAGAATGGCCGGTACTATCTCTACACGTGTGTTTCACAAAAATAGACTGAGTTACCTTTCTGCTTCACCCCTTAAAATAGGAGAAAAAATTTCAAATAATAAAACAAATTAATCCTCTGAAATTTAAAATTTCTCATGCTTTTGTGCGTGGATATGTGTATATCATCAGACTTGTAAGTAAAGATAATATTAATCGCACACGAGAAAGAACTGATGAAGAAGCATTCATGCGTATACATACCATTCCTACTCCACACCTCACAAAGATGACTTTCTTATCAAAGACCTTCCCGACCCTGTATAGCCTCCCTGCAACCACCATTTTCAACACAACTATCCCGAATCTAAGCTTCTTAACTACATAAAAACATGTTTATAAAAATAATGGGATCTCAGTTTTATAGAAGAAGAACCTGAGAGTTCCACAAAAGGGTGATTTGGATCGGGTTCAAATGCCTTGGAAGCAAAAAATGCAATCTCCTCAGGTGGGTAGGCAGCGATGATACCAAAATATGGCCCTTTCTGCTTCACTTCCTGTATCACTTGCATTGCCCTTCTTCTGCTTAATGGTTCTGCAAATGCTGCTGTCAAACTCAGCAACATAATCATCAAAACTCTTGCAGCCATGCTTATTGAAGAGTGAATTTAACTAGCAATAAGAAGCTAAAAATATTGGTAAATGGATACAGTTTATAGAAAATACATGAACATAGCAGACACAATTGTTTTCAACACAGATGTCTGCTTACACATGGTTATGTTTGTTCGTGTTTTATGGACTGCGTGTGCCTGCCAGCCCACTCAACGTTCTCTGTCAAACTGGTATCTGGTTATGGAACAGTATTACCTGTAAGTCAAACCCCGATAAAAATGAGGGCTTTCGTTTCTTAGAAGTTAAAAATCCAATGAATTTATGGAAATTTTCAACGTCTTATAAGGCATTGATGGTAACTGGAGTTTACTAGTGATTTATATTTAAAGAGCCTTTTAACTGAATCCATTGATCAGAAGTCAATAATCCTTTTTTGTTGTTTTTGTTGGGAGGGGGGTGGGCGGAAGAAGTTGACAGTCTGTTGAAAGTTTGATTTTTGGGCACGTGAGAGAGATAGATAAACGGATAACAATGGGGCCCATGAATTAAAATCTCTCATTCACTCATCAGAAAGTGAGCCCCATATAACTGGCCCTTTGTTCCCTGAATGTCAGATTATATTTGCATACATTATACACTCACATTATTGTCAATTAAAATTATTTTTTATATGATGGAGTTTTTTGTTCTTTTGGGACAAAATTTTCGCAGCAGAAGAAACAAATACAGCTTGCAGCACTATTTCTCATCATCCTCTCACATAAACTTCCATTGATTACCTAAAACAATGCTGGTCAAAAAAAAGAAGAAGAAGAATACCTAAACAATACTATGGAATTGCCAGATATCTTACCTACATCAACATATCTGCAATTTTCCGAGGGCAAAATCTAGTGAGTAATTTCAACAGTTCTGGAGAAATTAGAGTTGAAATTTCAGCGTCTGACATGGGTTTTGAGCAGAAAGAAATGGAGAAATTCATACAATATAAAAAGCAAAACTTGTATCATCTTTCAATTCATGGTATACGTTTATGACTTTTGAAGTTCTTTAATACAAATAAATGATTCCAACCTCTTAACATAGCCTAGCGTTGTTGTTTTTCACATTATACATGTCATCCCATAGAAGCATGAAAGGGGCTGGGTAAGTAATCATAAGCTCAAGTTGTGAGAAATTAGCTTGAACCAGTTTCGGAAAGCTAATCTGTAACTTCATTTTCTGTTGATGAATACGTATCAGAGGGTTCTAAATTGATTAGTCCCCTCATCCTGAACAGTAACAAGACACTGAAAATACTGTTGTCAGAAACAGTGAGTTTCATCGGTTTTGAAGCCCTTCAATTGCCTTCTTCCACTGCCATGCTCTTTGTTTTGCATCCTCCAATGACATTACTTTCTTTGGCTGCATTGTTTATTTAAGAGAAATCACAAATCATAAATCATCAAAATATCAAGAGGTATAAAAGAAATCTAACAAGGACATTGCAAGTTCGGGGAAAGCCCTAGAAAACAACTAAGCAAGTAGCATTACAGCTCCTTACATTTCATGCATATATATTAAATTTCAAATCAAATATTTACTTAAATACTATCCATGGTAATGACGGATATGGGGTCTTCTTTTTACCATCAATACATACAGCTTGCTGTAACTATAAACAGAAAATCTTATAACAAGATAAATAAAGATAACAGCAACTTACTGTGCAAATCTTAAAATGTGAAGGACTAGTCACTTGGACTGAAAGTTCACTTGGATTATCAGACCATAACATATTTCCCTTTACAATCAGTTTTGATGGGTCAACGTAGATCAACTTTGGCTTGTTTGTAAGGATGAGCTGCACCTTCTTGCTTGTTAGTTTCTGTAATTTCTTCACATTTGAGATCATAAGAACAGTTTCCCCAGGTTCCAAAAATTGTTGCCTGTAAGATAAGAAGCACTAATTTTGATTTTTAGTTTATACATAAAATGCACAGATTAACCAAAAAAACAACCAAATTAATTAATATCAAAAGCTAAATGAGGGCGAAATGAAATTACAGTGTGTTATAAATTCCTTCATTTACAAGTCCAAGATAAAGGATAACATGGCACCATTAACGTTTTACAATCTTAAAGGAACATATTGAGACCTCTGTCACATGATGTTAACTTTTGTGCTTCAGTGAGTCATGGATGACACAGTATATGGTCTTCACACAAACAATGGAAGATAATAATTTACCATTTTGAATCGAAAGAATCAATTGAAGCTAGCCTGGTCACATGAGCAGTCCCATCAGAAGTAGCAGCACTGGTATTTCCATCAGGTTTAGTAGAACCATCCTGAGGATCAAATGGGGAATCATGATGCTCAAGAGATTGACCCTAATAGTGAGAATGAGATGATGACGCTAGAAACACCTTTTACATTCGTCCCTAAAGAAAGTGGAGAAAAAGGGAAAATTGCCTATTCGGCATGAGTAACATTTAAAAACAGAATGAGAATTATACCCCTGCTTCTGGAGCAAGTTTTGGGGGGCTTTGGTCCCTTATGTTTTTCCAGTTTACTCCCTTGAAAAAAGGATGCATTTTGAGAACTCCATATCCATCAGGTCCAGCACCTGGTCTCCTCATTGGATTTAAATCCTGTACCATAGTTGCATTACTGTTTTAAATACATATTATTACAAATGAATGAAATACACAGAGCGTAGCAATTTAAATCATGCTTAATTATAGGGTAAATTACTCTTCCCATAGCTGAGTAATGCTTGAATTATACAATCTTCTCTTACTATGAGAAATCACTTTAGAAATATAAAGATCTCGAGTGGCTTTGACAATTTCTAATTGGCTAAGATCAGAATCTATTACTGGATGCATAGGATAATTTTAGAAGTAGCTTTTTTTTCCGTCGAAACCAAGACTTAGAAGCAACATGAATTCAACTTTTTTACAAAAGGTATATATCGGTTTTGAAATAGAAGGGACATCAAGTATCCAGCATTCCAGCTCTTTAACTCATAAAAGCCATACTTGGGGACTGATCTCCCAAGCCTCTCTTTTGTTTTTCACTCTAAAGCCCAAACCCCATCCCCCGCCCCCACGAAGCTTGATTTTTATCTGTTGTTGCCTTCAAATTAACAAAGGGAAAATTCTTTATAGCTTTTTTTTTTTTTTTTGGGGAAGAAAAGACAAGCCGAGGCTTGAAGACAAAGCAACAGAAAGGTAAAAAGGAAAAAAGACACGAATCAAGAAGACCCAAGAGGCGAAGCAGCTAGCTCCATGCGAAAATTCTTTATAGCTAGCATTGCCATCATGGCATTACAAAGGGAAAATGCCTTTAGTTTCTCATTATCAAAGAGCAGAAACATAAAATCAGAAATGTGGATAGAACAAGCAGGGCCTTCTGCATGCAAAATCCAAAAATACTAACCAGTAAACGGTCAATGAGGTCAATTGCTTGCTCAGAAAAGTAATCTGGAAATCGAAGATCTCTGGCTATAATTCTTTGGAAAATAAGCCATTCACTAGCATCTTTAAATGGAGAAGTTCCAGAAAGCATTTGATATAATGTGCAACCGAGAGCCCAGAGGTCATTTCTGTGGTAAAATATTGAAAGAAATAAAACAAAGGAGAAAATAGAAGAGTATTATGTGGTAGCCAGGCACGGAACAAAAAATAATGAAGTTACTCAGTGCGAAAGCTCTCCTTGGCAACTGAAGGGTTGGAAATAATCGTTAACTCAAAAAAGACAATGAAATCTATAAATAACGTAAAAACGCCATCAAAACAACATACAATCAAGTCCGTACCCAAAAGTTGCTGGAGAAGAATTAAGAACCTCTGGAGGGACATAAGCAGCTGTCCCCACAAATGTGCAGGCTTTATCATCTAGGGGAAAAAACCAAGATCACACACATGAATAATGATAAACATAACAAAGCAGCTTCCACATTACTCCTGATTTTACCTGATGCTGCTGCATTTGGAAGGACTGTAATGCGGGTCCTGCATAGGCTTCACACTCCCAAAATCAGCGATTTTAATATGTCCTTCAGCCGTAAGTAACAAGTTCTCTGGCTGCAACGTAAGGAATGTGATCTTTTAACATACCCATATGAAATGCTGAAGCAATACATTCATAGCACAGAACTACCTTAATATCACGATGTATCAATCCCAAACTATGTATATATTCAAGGGCATCCACAACTTCAGCTGCATAGAACCGTGCTTCATCCTCGGATAGACGACCTTTCTGCACACAGGAAATCAGGCAGAAGCTAGTAGATAGCAAGTAACAAGTTGGCAAATAGATACGAACCACACAGATAGCAACAGCTTCCAAAAATCTAAGGGTAGAGAAAAAAGAAAATACAATATTTTTAAAAGAAGGACCAACAATTTCAAAAATATCAATATGAAATGTCAAACGTGTTGGCCTGGATAAACTAAGCCATAAGAGTGAAATGAAGTACCAAATGTTCAAAACCTCTCAACACACGGCCTACGAGCACCCCCCCCCCAAAAAAGGAGTAGTCAAAAAGGGGCCAGACAGCTTTTTCCAAAAGAGGAAGGGGGAAACAGAGAGACAACAGTGAAATATGTAAATAATGCTTCTCTGGACAAAAAAACGAGAAGCAAAAACAGTAAAAAAAAAAAAATCCTTTGCAAAGATCTGTGACAGAGAACATATTTTTTACATAAATAAAAAGAAATCAATACCATATTGCTCACCATCCACATATACTTAAGAATAAAGGTGTTATTGGTTTCAGTTGGGGTCAATTGTCAGCGTTATTTTGAAATGTTCACTAACATGTACAAAATAATTTATTGAAAAAGAGAATAGTAATTTATCTCAACTCTTGAAAAATATTATAATAAACCGCTTCCAGTACTTTTTTCCAGATGCAGATTATAAAAGGCCATAACAAATAAGACCCAACTTCTACAGCACTAAATCTGGGTCCTTCTAAACCAGTACCAATCAAATTAATTGGATTCCAGCGTGTGGATCTCATGTCTTCAAGTCTCATATTAGCTTACCGGGTTATTTGATCAAAAAGTTCTCCACCTTCACAGGACTCAAGTGCCATGTCTTCAAGTTTGAAAAAGAAAAGATCACAAGAAAAAGATACAACATTGATTAATAGATCAAAATGGGTGGGAAGCTAAAGCATATTGAAATGAAAGAAGATAGAGGAGGAACAGCATTGAATGAAATTATTTAGAGAAACACAGCCTAAGAATACCTACAAATGGAAAATGTGTCTTGAAATGTGAAAAATAGGCGCACAATGCCAGGATGGTCCAATTGATCAAGCACTATGCGCTCCAACTTCACATAAGCTGTTTTATTCTCTTTAGTAATAAATTTTTTATCCATGATTTTCAATGCATACACAACTCCTGTGTCCTTTCTTTGCCCTCACAACCTAATACAAAAAAAAAAAACAAAAACAAAAAAAAATTAAAACAAAATATGTGGTAAAAGTTTAAAAGAAATGGTGAATTTACTCAATTAAATCACAAAAGATCCAGATAATTAAGTTTTGAAATAAGATAACAAGCAATATTTGTATACAACGGATTGAAATTTATAGTTACAGAGATCACTGAACTATATGATCAGGAAAATTTAACAAAAGTAGCAAGACGAAATACAAGACTCATATTCCAGTCCCTGGATAAGTGATATCATAATCACTAAAAAAGAATATCATAATCTCTGAAAAAAGGCAAGAGGTGATTGTCCTAGCGGATAACAGAATACTTATCCTCGAAGTCATAATGGTCACCAAACATAGATGGTCACCAAAGTCTCAGAATACTTTGGCATGCTTCCCATGAACAGCCCCTCAACACTGCTATAGTTTCTCCCTTTGGCCATGTCA